TCTCATGCTGACTTTTTAAAGAAAGGAAATATTTACCTTTCAGAGTCCAATTTGCAAGGAGAGTGCTTTAATATAACCCTACACCAAAATGTAAAACATCCATAGATATGTCCATATTTTGCAGAGGTAAGAGAACAGTCATCGGCCAAACCCTGCCTGAAGAATGAAGATAATAGGTCTTGGCTTCTTACAAAAATATTTATTTTGTTTTTGCTGCTAGCCCTCCTTAATTAAGCTAACTTGAAAAGTAATTTTCACAAAAACTATGTGTACAAAGCTTTTTTCAAAGCTATGGCTCATCTGCATGTTTTTTATGGTGTGGGAAACATGAGAAAATCAGGAACTTGCATGAGTAAGGAGTAGCTAGACACCCAATTCACGATGCTAGCTCATGAAATAAGCTACCCTTTGCAAATAGGTACAACTGTAAACTTGCAGAATTAGCATGCCAAAGAGCTCTGGCAGGTTGGGAATAGGATAGGGTACCTGTGCATTGTTCTTACATAGTCCAGAAATTGGGATCCGTAGACTTTTGCACTGGCATAGTGAGTAATGGTATCAGTCCTGCTGCATATTCACATTTTTCTCCCCTTATCGTTTGCATCCAGAGGACTTTGGAAGATAAATCTCTCCTGGTATCATATTGGCTAAAAGCAAAACTAGTCAATAATTTCTGTATCAGACTTAAAATGTACTATCATATACCCATGATACTATGTATCATGTATACTATCATATACCCAGGGAAAACAGGTCTTGTCCCAAATTCTTATCAACTGTTTTTACCTCAGTCTTACTAGCAATCCCTTCAGCTTTCCCGTAGGTTTTGGGAAAAACAAACCAAACCAAACCAAACCAGATAAGTCTTTTTCTGTTATCTGAAAGTTAACTCAAGCAGGCAAAGAAAGGGGTCAAACTAAAGTGAAAGCATGTGTAGAAACACTTTTTATTTAAAAACAGATCTGTGAGTTTAGGGACTTTGTCATATTTTTTTCATGGGTATAAGAACTGTATGTGAGAAAATTTTACCTTACTAAATCACTGGGAAAATTGTTTGTACCTATAGGAAAGTCCATCATGCTGAAGGTCTTCCATTAGAGCTCATGCAGATTAGGAATTAACTTTAATACATTGTATACACAATAGTTAATACATTTCTCACATAACCCAGATCCATGGTCTACTTGAATTTCAATTATTTTGATCTTTATCCTTAGATGAACTGTAAAGAAGTAGATATTTTTCTGTCCTGAGGGTGCTAACCTCAAGTATTTTAATTTACATAAGTGAGAATTATTTGAGATCTACATAAACGAGGAACAACTTCCGAAGACGATCTTAGAACCCATACAGTAGTAGATGTAACTGAGCAGTAAAGGTCTAAGGGATGACAATTTCATTTCATGGCAGTTTTTGAGGCTATGAAATTGATTTTGTTCTGTATTGAACTGAAGACAAAATCACTCAAATGTTCTCACAGAGAAGGAAATGTAGTGAAATGTCCATTTTCGAATGAAAACCTGAGCTACTCTGTTTATGAAAATGTGTGCAAAAGACAAGAGGGGTGTCTGTCTGCCAACCCTTCCTGGCAAAACTTTGTTGACTGTTTCTGCAAAACATCTCGATCTTGATGAAACTACATAGTTCGGAATAGCTGTACAGTCCCTAAGTGCTCCAGCTAGCTGTCCAGATATTATTTTACTGGACCGTCTTAGCAGGCTACTCTGCATTCCTCATGCCTGCTAAGAAACCTACCAGAGGACTGACCTCTGTATTTCCTTTTCCTAACCAACTTTAGTGGTGTTACCAACACTTTTTTTTTTTTTTTTGTCAAGGTAAAGCTACACACATACACACACACTTGTAAAAATGTTATTTTAAAATACGGGCTTTTTTCCAAAGTCATTTAGGATTTGATGCTTAACCATTTGTCAAATACCCTATCATCTGCTGCTGAGCAGATAAGTTTAAAGAAAATATTGGAAGTGAGGGAACAATTTTTGATTATTAAGCTCTTTTGAATTTTTCATATTTGTGAGCAGTGAACTCTGATAATGTTCTATGCATGTATTCATTACCTTTGCAACAGCAACATTATGAATTCAGACTCGGTAATGTGTATATCCACTATGAGTACTCTCATAAAATTGTCAACAAATAACTGTGCTATTAATTTCTTTTTCAAGTAAATTGGGTAAGTACATTAATGTTTCAAGGTTTAAAGAAGTCAGATTTTATAAAATGTAACTAAAGGGATTGAAAATGGCATGGCTGGCTGTGATTATAAAAATGTAAAGCTTCAAAGTTGTCCATTATAAATAATCTCAAAGTACCTGAACTCAAATGGTTCCAAACCCAGTGAATTTTGGATAGGAGCACTATTAGTATGTTAGCATTAGCCTTTCTTACATTTCATCAGCTGTTCACTGAGCATCTCTAAAAAAAATCATATTTTAAATATCTAAACAAGGCCACACAAGGTGGTAGAAAATACTGTACATTGCCCTCTGTTTTAGCGGTTTATTTTATTAAATAACATTTTACATTCGTAGAAGACTAATTGTGTCTTTCTGTTTACATTTTTCCTTTAGATTAATTCTGCTTGACTCTCTGTCATTCGATGTTGTTCTGCAGTGTTCCTAAGACTGAAACTTAATGACTGTGTTAAAAAGGCCTAATGCCTTTTAACATATTTTTACCTTTCAGTCTTAGTACGAATATTTTTAGTATTTTCCCCCAAATTCAAACCAACATCTTATGCAGGCTATTGCCTGCTGACTTCACTTTTGAAAACTTTCAATGACCAGACTGAGAGTAACCATAATGAGCACTGATGAAGTTTGACCTATTTTTGATACATGTCAGTTGATGTACTGAAAATCAACAGCATTTCAGACAACAGGTAATAATTCTAAACCGGGTTCTTCCCTGCGAGGTACACAGCAGTTGTTCTAGATCTGGAAAGAATCAGGATCTTGTGGAATTTAAACACCCCCCCACCACCACCTTTAGTTAGCGTATCTCTTCCCTTTAAGCCAAAACATACGCTCAGAGAATACTAATGCCATCCTGTTACACATGGAGTGATTAATTTGGTGCCAAATTTATCATGGCCGTGGAGGTCCCTGTGCCTTGTGTTTCTGATCAGCTGGGTTGATCAGTTTGTTGTAATGACTGTACATACTTAGGGAAGTAGTTACAGAAAGCTATTATAGGAGACACACCAAAATCTTCTCCCAACAGAAGACTGACAAAGAGTGTAAAAAATAGGCCTAATAGATACATAAAACTGATGCAATGCAGATGAAAATTTTAAAGTGAATAATGCAGACATGATGTGACAGATAGATACATTTGAGAAATTTGCATTAAATTAATCTAATTGTTTTTGCTGAAAGGAAATGAGCAACAAAATGTCTTTAAATCTCATTTAAAAATCTTGTGTCTTTTTAAATTTTTCTTTAGGCGCACACTGAAATATTTAAAGCATTTTTTTTAAGTTGACCAAAAGCAAATGATCATTTAATTCCTACTGTATTCAATGCAACAAGCATTTATTCAGGGTTTTATTTTGAAACAAATTATATTTTGACCTTTGCAGTGTAAATGTGTGCTTTCACAATCTGTAGCATATATACATCCAAGTTTCCACTTGTAATGTAATAAAAAATAACATAAAGTGAAAGTAAACATTTTGAGTAGTGATAGCTCAAATTTATGAATGAATTTACTGTCAATACTTTGTTTTAAGCACTGGCAGTAGAAAACAGAAAGAGTTCCATTTTAGTATGTTATTTATATTCCATCACATTTCTTCCATTCTTTGCATAAGACATTGATTGAACTTGATTTGCTCATGTTTACAGCAGGACACGTGATAATATTAAGTTATTCACCAATTAATTAGTTGTCTGTCATTGGTCCATATTTTCTCCTTCTGTTACGGTAGTTGTGAGAGGATTTCTAGCTCGCCAGCGCTTGCTACAGAAGATGAGCATCAAACAGCAAGAGGTCACCTCAATCAAAAGCTTCTTGCAGAACGCTGAGGATATGGGATTGAAAACATATGATGCCTTGGTCATTCAAAATGCTTCTGACATTGCTCGGGAGAATGACCGGCTCCGCAATGAGATGAACGCTGCTTACCACAGGGAAAAGTTAGAAGCTAGAAACAGACCAGAAGAAGGCCACAAAAGGTAAGATGAGAAGACATCTACAGTGAAGAATTGAAGCGTTTCTTCAGTTTTAGTGATTTCCTTCCCTGCTTAGAAAGTCGTAGAAATGACTGAGGAATTGCAAGAGGATTCTCAAGAATGTACTCAGCCCGAATCAATGTTAAGCTCTATTTTTTTTTTCTTCTGTATAGCAGGTAATTAAGTCTACAAACTTAAAAATACCCTAATATCCTACTCAGAGGACACTGAGCTTTATAGGAACTTATTCAAGTCTCTGAGGCATTTATTTTTTACAGAAGTATTTTTTTAATTCTATGATAAATAGAATATAGTTGAACCTTTATCAAATGAAACAAACAAAAGAAAAAATCCTCTAACTTAAAATTCCAGCTTTGGGAAATTGCCAAGATAATGAAAAACAGCTAGGAAGGCATTAAAATACAATAAAGTCCAGACTAAGAAATCCTGATTACACAGTGAACTAGGTAGATTGATTGTGAGGAGGATTCATAGAATCATAGAATGGTTTGGGTTGGAAGGGACCCTAAAGATCGTCTGGTTCCAAGCCCCCTGCCACGAGCAGGGACACCTTCCACTAGACCAGGTTGCTCAAAGCCCCATCCAACCTGGCCTTGAACACTTCCAGGAATGGGGCTTCCATAACTTCCCTGGGCAACCTGTTCCAGTGCCTCACCACCCTCATAGTGAATTTCTTCCTTGTATCTAATCTAAATGTACCCTCTTTCAATTTAAAGCCATTACCCCTTGTCCTATCACTACATACCCTTGTAAATGTCATAGAATCATAGAATCATAGAATGTTTTGCTTTGGAAGGGACCCCTAGAGGTCATCTAGTCCAACCCCCCTGCACTGGGCAGGGACACCGCTAACTAGATCAGGTTGCTCAGAGCCCTGTCCAACCTGGCCCTGAATGCTTCCAGGGATAGGGCCTCCACTACCTCTCTGGGCAACCCCTTCCAGTGTTTCACCACCCTCATTGTAAAGAATTTCTTCCTTATATCCAGTCTAAACCTACCCTGTTTTAGTTTAAAACCATTACCCCTTGTCCTGTCACAGATGGCCCTACTAAAAAGATTTTGCCCCTCTTTCCTACAGGCCCCCTTTAGGTATTGAAAGGCCGTAATCAGGTCTCCCTGCAGCCTTCTTTTTTCCAGGCTGAACAAGCCCAACTCCCTCAGCCTGTCCTCACAGGAGAGGTGCTCCAGCTTTCTTGTTGGCCCCCTTCAGGTACTGGAAGGCTGCTGTAAGGTCTCTCTGGAGCGTTCTCAAGGCTAAGCAACCCCAAATCTCTCAGCCTGTCTTCACAGGAGAGGTGCTCCAGCCCTCGGATCATCTTTGTGGCCCCCCTCTGGACTTGGTCCAACAGGCCCATGTCCTTCTTATTTTGGGGGCTCCAGAGCTGAACGCAGTACTCCAGGTGGGGTCTCACAAGAGTGAAGTAGAGGGGGAGAATCACCTCCCTCGACTTGCTGGCCACGCTTCTCTTGATTGAGCCCAGGATATAGTTGCCTTTCTGTGCTGCAAGCGCACATTGACAGGTCATGTTGAGCTTCTCCTCAACAACCACCACAAGTCCTTCTCCTCAGGGCTGCTCTCAATCCATTCTCTGCCCAGCCTGTACCTGTGCTTGGGATTTCCCCAATGCATGTGCAGAACCTTGCACCTGGCCTTGTTGAACCTCATGAGGTTCACACAGGCCCCCCTCTCAAGCCTGTTGAGATTCCTCTGGATGGCATCCTTTCCCTCCAGTGTGTCTACTGCACCACACAGCTGGGTGTCATTGGCAGACTTGCTGAGGATGTACAAAATCCCACCGTCTATGTCTCCAACAAAGATGTTAAACAGCACTGGTCCCAGTACTGACTCCCAAAGAATGCCACTGCTTGCTAGTCTCCACTTGGACATTAAGCCATTGACTGTAACTCTTTGAGTATGACCATCCAGCCAATTCCTTATGCACCAAGTGGTCTATCCATCAAATCCGCATCACTCCAATTTAGAGACAAGGATGGTGTGTAGGACAGTGTCAAATGCTTTGCAGAAGTCCAGGTAGATGACGTCAGTTGCTCTCCTTTATTTACCAGTGCTGTAACTCCGTCATAGAAGGCCACCAAATTTGTCAGGCACAATTTGCCCTTAGTGAAGCCATGTTGCCTGTAACCAATCACCTCTTTAATTTCCATATGCCTTAGCACAGTTTCCAGGAGCATCTGCTCCATGATCTTGCTGGACACAGAGGTGAGACTGACTGGCCTGTAGTTCCCCAGGTCTTCCTTTTTTCCCTTTTTAAAAATGGGTGGTATGTTTCTTTCCCCTTTTCCAGTCAGTGGGAACTTCACTGGACTGCCATGACTTCTCAAATATAATGGCCAGTGGCTTAGCAACTTCATCCACCGGTTCCTTCGGGACGCACAGATGCATCTCATCAGGTCCCATGGACTTCCATACCTTCAGGTTCCTTAGGTGGTCTTGAGCTTGATCTTCTCCTACAGTGGGCAGTTCTTCATTCTCCCAGTCCCTGCCTTTGCCTTCTACGACGTGGGCGGTGTGGCTTGAGCACTTGCTGGTGAAGACTGAGGCAAAAAAGTCTTTGAGTACCTCAGCCTTCTCCATATCCCAGGTAACCAGGTTGCCCATTTCCTTCCAGAGAATGTGAGGCTGCTCCTATCTGTCTACTGAGGGCCTCATCCACTCAGTCTTCCTGGTTGGGTGGCCTGTAGCAGACCCCCACTATAATGTCATGTGTCCCCGCCCTCCCTTTAATCCTGACCTATAAGCTCTCGGTCAGCTCCTCATCCATCCCCAGGCAGAGCTCCATGCACTCCAACTGGTCATTGACACAGAGGGTGACATGCCCTCCTTATGTGCCCTGCCGGTCCTTCCTAAAGAGCCTGTAGCCTTCCATTCCAACACTGCAGTCATAAGAGCTGTCCCACCATGACACCATGATGCCAATAGGGTCATAGCCCCGCAGGCATGTGCCTATCTCTTAACTCCTCTTGTTTATTCCCCATGCTACTTGTGTTTGCACATAGACATTTAACTTGGGCCCCCGATTCTTTCCTCTTATTTAAAAATAGGCAAATGTTTCTTGTTTAGCTACCGCCAGAGTGTTCAGGAGTACCTATTTTACAAATCCAGCAAATGCTGGAGAGCCTTTCTCTATGAACTGAATCCCTGATCTCTTTTCTCTCAGACAGCTGAATAGGCAGAAGTAGCATATGCAGTTAATAGGTATGTGTCTATAGCATTTTAACTCGCTGGACATATAAATGTTTATTTTTCCATAGGAACTTAATTTTCATCCAGAACAACTCCCTTTGCTTTCATTGCTTTTGTCAGTGACTTTTATTAAAGTGAAAATGGCAGTGCATCTGCTTAATTAGTTTCAAATATCCCAGTGATTACATACTGGAGGAAATGCCTTTGTAGGAAAGGCTGTAATTAAACATTACAGTGAAAACAAATTATCCACCGAGCACCATGCTTTCATCTTTAGCTATTTCATTTAGTACATGGGCAGCTGGCTATATCCTGTGCATGAATTCCAGCTCTGCTGGTGATTTGCCATGCAGAAATACAATTTAAAAAAACAAATGCTCCAGGATTTGTTTGTAAAATGGCGCTATAGAGATCTTCTATCTAATACATTACCACTCTAAGTTAAAAGGTTTTCAACGCTTTGATTTTTGGAGGAATGAAATGTTAGAAGAGTTTTTGTTAAAAATCAATTTGTAGGAAGCAGCTGATAAACATAATTTCTCACTATGTATTGAAATGGCAAAAAAAAAAAAAAAGAAAAAATTGGAATAAGTAAACCTCCAAAACTGCAATTGAAAGAATGAAACATAATGTCAAAATTAATATTATTAAAATGATAACTAATAATTAAGCTTAAACAGGAAGATATGCAGATATCTGGGTGGAATTGTTCAAGCAGCCAATGTAGCTGGTTAAAAAGGTCATCTAATATTTTAAAGATTTGCATTATCTAAATAGAATTTATAGTTGTCTTTTTAGAAAATAATGATAAAGGCTCAGCATTTGCTGCCTCAGTAACTTTCTATTAAAATGGATTTCCCAGAAATTATCATTCAGATTGAAAAGCCAGCTTCTGATTGTGTGTAACAATCAAAGTGTGAACAATTCATTCAGTGAATGTCTGATCAACAGTATGAAACTGCTTAAGGAAGGCTGCATTTGGGTGAAAAAGGGCCAGTGTCCCGATTTGTCATGAAACAGGAAATGGAAGAAAGCTAGCGGCTCGATCTGGGTTTGTTTGCCAGAAGATTACCACACGCGTCCCCTCGACACAGCAGGGGAGTTGTGGGATTGTTTACCAAAAAGCTGTTGTTATGTTTGCATGAACAGGTTCATTGTTATCGCTTGAATAATGCATCTGGGCCTCTTTTCTGTGTTTTCAGAGCTGAAGACAAGGGTGGGAAGGTCTCTGAGGACAGCTTTGCCGGCTGTCGAACGCCTAAGCACTTTCATTCCAGCTCCGTCCCTGTCCCCATGGCAGTGGACGGCTTGGTACATTCTGCGGCTGGGTCATCCATCAGATCCCCCTCCCTGCACTCGGTGTTCAGCATGGACGATAGCAATAGCCTGCCATCACCAAGGAAACAGCCGCCTCCCAAACCAAAGAGGGACCCCAACACACGACTGAGCGCTTCGTACGAGGCTGTTAGTGCTTGCTTGTCGGCAGCTTCTAAGGAAACCGCTAATGAAGGTTAGGCATAAAGGGAGACACAGTCGCAAACGTTACTCTAGGTTATTGATTTATTCTTTTCACTTTGATCCTTTTAAACACAGTCAAGCGCCTTTGAAAAGTCCCGCTTCCCTGAAATATTTCAGTGGCAGTAAATAAAATTAGTCAATTTGTCATTTGTTTCCAAATCAGCAAATAATACTCATATGTTCTAATTGCCTAGTTTGTCAACACCCAAAGCCTATTTGCAGAACTCCCTCTCGAGACAAATGGCCTCTGTCAACTTGAGCTATTCTACCCCACTGACCATTTAATTTCACCTTTTAAACTGTATGTTAGAGTACTTTGCATCACTAAACCAGAATAGTGGAATCTTGAATTTCACCAAGTTAAACACTAAACTTTCGCCTCCTTCTTCTGTGTGTTCACATGAATAACTTCTGCATTCAGTGGTTTATGTTCGTACCATAACTTGCTTACAGTGAATTTTTCGTTTAGGAGGAAAGTGCTGTGAAAGTCCCAAAGCTTCTCAATGCAGTATAGTGCATATAGAACAGGTTTGAATTCAGTTGTTCTATTCTCCTTCACCCTTGAAATGAATGAGTAGAAGACAGAGGGGAGGAATGCATTCTGCTTTTCCTTGATAAGCCTGACTTGTCATGCTTTGTGTAAAGGATCCTCTAGGCTTATCAGGGAAGATCCTTCAGGTTGGGTTTAAAGCTATGTATAACCATTCTCTAATCCTGCATACAATGGATGGAAACCTTTGCAGCTCCCTCTTGCAAAATAATTACTGTTCTTGTGTCCAGTTCATTAGATGCAAGTCCATTTTTCTTAACCTCTTCCTTGCTCATTCAAGCTCTGTGTAAGGAGAGATGAACTGCGTCCAATATACTTTTAAACTAGTATAGCTTAAGGAGCTCTGTAGTGGTTTCAGCTTTCTGTGCCCAGCTCTGCAAGAGGTGATTGATTTAACCCAAGAGCTCTAGCAGAGGTTTTTGAAAGAATGACAATTTATATATACGTGTGTGGTCTTAACACTAATGCTTGTATACACTCACAAAACAACTCTGGAATTTTTCTCATATCTATGAAACAATGGGGCCAGTTTCCCTGCTGTATCCTCATTTTCCAAGAATTATGTCAGTTTCCCGAGTCTTTGTCCAAAACCAGCCCTGGTGTACACCATCGAATTTTGATCTTAAAAGACCAGTCACCTAGGTATCTGGTCCCTCCACATGCCTGAAGGCTGTGAAAAGATACCTAGCTTAGTTAACTCTATACTCAGTTGGGGAATTGCCCTTAGGCTATGGGATTCCCTAACTTTATAAATTATTTCCACACCTACAGTACAAAAGAAGAAGGGATGAGCATAATATCTGCCTGCAATTAGAGTTTTATAGATACTGCACAAAAGGGGGATACTTCAGTTGCTGGCAATAACATAGTGTCAAAGTAGCACCATGCTGAAGCTCCTAGTTAAAAGCATGCCCCTCTCCCCTGGGACAGAAGGGGTAACACGCACATAGCTCCATGTGTTACAGACCTTGCAGTGAACATTCGGATTCAAAAGATATCTCCTCGGGTGTTCTCATCTTTTAGCGGCACTAGAGATTACCAAAGCAGATTATATGCCCAGGCAGCAAAAGCTTGTTGTTTGGAAGCTGGAAGTTCTGCATTTCATTCCTGGAAATATTTATAGTTTTGACTGAATCGCTGTGTTTGTGACTGCTGCTCATTGTAAAACTATATGGGCAACATTTGAAGGCTTAAAGTACTAGACCTATGAAAGAAAAAACTGACTTTGATCTGTTAATAACAGAGTCCTTTTTCACTTTTCTAGTACTGACCCGTCCAAGGCCACACAGTGATGACTATAGTACCATGAAAAAAATACCTCCCAGAAAACCAAAACGAAGCCCCAATACGAAACTTAGTGGCTCTTATGAAGAAATACCTAGCCAAAAGCCTGGGGATGTAAAACAGGCAAGCACAGGAGCTAAACCAGGTGGCTATGACACTGTGACAGTACAGAGAGCAGCTTCTGCTGATGTGCCACAACATGGCATGTTGAGTCTCTATATGTCACAAGAAGAGGAGGAAAATGAGCCTGTCTATATTGAAATGGTAGGGAATGCAACAAAAAGCAATTCTGCTGAAGCAGAAAGCCCAGAACAAGGAGAGTCTGTATATGAAGAAATGAAGTATTTTCTACCAGAAGAAGGAAGCAATGGTAATGCAATAATTCCAGTAATGACTGGATCTCCTCCTCTGTTGTTTGAAAGCAAAAAAAATGTTAACGTTGAAGATGGAACATTGGATGGAAACAGTCAAGCAGCTTTGATCTACAAAGACTCATGTGACATTCCAGCCCCTTTTCCTAACTTGCTCCCCCACAGGCCACCACTTCTTGTATTCCCTCCAACCCCTGTCACATGTTCACCTGCTTCCGATGAATCACCTCTAACACCACTGGAAGTCAAAAAGCTTCCTGTCTTGGAAACCAACCTAAAATACCCTGTACAGTCAGAAGGTTCAAGTCCATTATCACCACAGTACTCCAAAAGCCAGAAAGGGGAGAATGAAAGACCAGCATCTCCAGGCTTGGTTGTGTTCAATGTTTCCAGCAAAGTGACTCCTCCTTCCACACCACCTCCTCCTCTCCCACCACCCCCTCCTCCTGTACCACCTCCTATTTCCTACCGGGCTTCCACACATTTTGCATTTCCTCCAGAGCCTTGTACTAGTTTTCTGATTACTACAGGGAAAACAGGTACAAACTCAGATCTGTCAAAAGTACCTCAGAGACCAAATCCTGCTCAGCTTGGATGCTCATCTTCTCCATTCTCCAAACTGCCTTACTCCCCAAAGGTGGCAAGAGCAGATCACAGGAAATTGAACTCAAATTCATCATCTTCGTTTCCATACAGCCCTACAAACTCAAGGTCTTTGACCAGTCCCCTTGATGAGTTAACTAGCTTGTTCAACTCAGGACGGAGTGTGCTACGAAAATCTGCAGCAGGACGCAAGATCAGGGAGCCAGAAGGTAAGACAGATCTCTGTGCTTCTGTATACTGCATTTCTTCTGCACCAAAACTTTCTTACATTGGAAGCTGATAGAGTAGGTAGAAATGCAAAACAAAACTGTCATTTGTTTGTTTTTTTTTTAAAGAAAGATCTGTTGTAGTCATAAAAACGCATATAGAAAATAGATTGCAGGTTTTCTGTGAGATTTCAACTTTTCTTTTACCAAAATGTTTGTATGACACAAATTTAAATGGATTATTTTTAGCATTCCAGCAGTCTCAGTAAAATAAACACAGATGTTACATCATAGGAAAATGATTTTATGGCCTAAATCTATAGGAATACTTTGACTGAAATATATGGCTAGGTGTCTGGTAGATACCATGTACTTTAATTTCAAGACTTTCTTTTAAGGTTTCATCATTTCATTTCCATGAAATTCTGAATTTAGTGATACAGCCATTATTATTCTCCTAAATAAAGCTGAGACAGTGCAGCAAACTATATTTATTTCCCTTTTCTATCATTTTTTTCTTACCTTTCCTGTCATTTACGTACACTTATGTACATACCCAGAGAATACTTGGTATCCTGGCTTTCTGGCACCTGGAGAACATCTTTTGTATATAGTGCAAAAGCCAACTGTAAAAAGAAGCAAAGCTTGCCGTTTTGCTAAAGGTTTTTGAGACCACAGTCCTCAGACAGTGCCACTTAATTATTTGCCTTGTCCAGGTAATGAAGGGTTTAATGTTGTTACTGGAACAAATCTGCGGATCTTATGAATACTGAAAATTCATCCTAATGTTAACAATTACCTGCTCTGTAAGGCTGAGATGCTTCAGACCTAACTTTGTCCATCTAAAAGCTGGATATGTAGACATCAAAACCTTAGACTATGAAGAGACAGTCATTCTGAGAGTTTAATTCCTCCCATATATCTTTCTCCATTGGGTATGAGGAAAGCCTAGATGATTAAATTAGTAGAGTTGTTGCTTCTAAGTGATTAAAGTTGAAGTAAATCCCCACTCTGCATATCAGTTACAACACTGACTCCAGTCTTCACATTACTTTTCTGATTTAAAAAGTCTCCTATGTAAAATAGTCAGTGCACTGTATACAGAAACTTCTCTCTCTAGTCGCATCTCCCAAACACAAAATTTCGTTAATTTAAAATTCAGAATGATAAACGTCTAGACTGTTTTTTCTGCTTCTTCATTTCTGTCTGTCCAAACAGTCATGTTAATCAAGAGCTGTGTGCAGCGCATGGGCAATATGAAGTCCTATTTTTGAAATATAAAACAAAAAAGTAGAGAATGGGATAGAACATCTTCTTATTGGTTATCCATTTTTAAAAATATATATATACTCCTCCATCGATTTCGGTATCATACCCTGATTTGTGCAATTTTAATAGAACAGAAGCAGGCGTTTGTGCTTACTCTGGATATGTGTATGTCTGTCTGTGTGCCACCCTATCTCTCTGTCCCTATGAATCTCGGCAACCTTCAGCCAAAACCCCTTTCAACCAAATGCAACAAGGAGATAAACATCTCAAAACTAATTGAATTTCTACAGGTTTCACGAAAGTTAGTGGCTAGGTGAAGACAAGAGACTTATACTGGGAGAAAGGCTCCTACCAGCTATCAGAGAAACCATGGTGTGTCCAGAATCCTTGTGCGTCCTCCAGACATTGGAAAAGCTTTAGCTGGACCTTGTATGTTCCTAGATGCTGAATTCAATCAGCCATGAGCTATGAACTGAGACTTCATCAGTTCTCAACCTCAAGAGAATGCCTTGTTTGTTATTCTGTGTATATGAATTGATGAAATTTGTAAAGAAGATGTTGCAGTAGTTTAGTTTGCTTTGGCAAAATTACCTGATAACATTCAATGACTATAAATTATGTAAAATGGCTTTTTGGTTTGGTTTGGTTTTTGGTTTTTTTTTAAGTTGGCATCTTGTTTTATTATATAGATAATACATTTTTATCTGCTGGGAAGTAGCTATTAAAGTCAGCTCTTTGGATGTATCTTCTCAAGGCTCTCTCAATGTACCTGGTGCGGAAGTATGGTAAGCCTTCTCCAACCAAGTCGCAAAACTGACCTTTACCTTAAAAAAAATGTTTCTTTGGGATGGAGGATTTTTGCGAACTCCATTTTCAACTAAATGTGACCGCGATAGAGTTCAGCTTGGGTCTCCTGTGAGTTGAAGCTAGTGCATTAACAGAGGCTACCATATAAAACCTCTAAATTTACCTTTCGCATGGAAAATGTTGTACTTCTAAATATTTCATCAAGGCACTAAGTATGAAAGATCAAAGTTCAAGAAAGATATAAGATAAAAAACCTGAATCAATATTTTATGAGCTAGGAAGCTACTGTATAATACTAAGTGCAGTTACATATGAATAGTTCAGTGATCAGCAGATGGATTGAAACTAACAAAGGAATAAAGGTGAGGGTATGTGCGTGCTTTTACAATTTGCCTTTTTTCATGTGCTTCCCATGTTCAGTTCATTTCTAGGGTAACAGCTGGGGAAAAAAAAATCTTTTATTTAACCTCTGATGCAAAGTAATAAAATGGCAATCAGCAAAGTAGACTCTGTTACGTAAAAGTAGAAGTTGTCCATGTCTTACCTTCTGATTTTAATCACCTATTGCATAATGCATGTTAAGTTCCTGGAAAACTCCTCCACTTCTTCTTTTTGTCATTTGTAGTATTTTATTTATAGGACATGATATGGTAAAAAACATTAAATTAACTTTAATAGAAATTCATTAAAATTGAAGACATAGCCTAGAGCCATGTAATGTGCAATTTCCTTTATTTCTGTAAGTTATAACCTACCAACAACCTTAACTAAAAACAGAAAGTAAAATTGTGGGCCATTTTGAAGTCAAGGAGAGTTAGCTATGGGAATCGGTAAGTTTCTGTATGGGATCATCAGCCTTTGAGATAAAAGCTGCCTCGCCAATAAAAGGGCAATACAGACAGATCCGCCAACCTCTTGCCTGGAGGAGTAATTTCAAGGCCTGAGAACACTGATGTCCTTTTGGCTCCTGACCTCTCCATGGGAAATAATCATCCAGAATTACAATAGAACGGATTCGTGGTTTTCTGATGGACTGCGGACTTATTGTGAACTGAACTGAGAGCACTCTTCTTTTACACAGGCAACAAAAGAAAATAATCAAATGGCAACAATTTTCATTGCCTGGTGGCCTAGTCTGAACATTTTTTTTTTATACAACAGTAGCATCTACTCATTCAAGCAATGCTCAGGATCACATAGTATGCAATTTCTTGCAAAATACTTTACATGTAATCGGAGAAGTTTTATGCTCTGCAGAGCTTATAGTTTGAATAAGCAAAACTGTAACAGGTGAGAACTGAGATAAAGTGATTTCTCCAAGGTTGAAGAGAGTTGTCACTGAAGCTACAGCTGTATTGTTAGACAGGGATTTCCTTTTACTCCATGTAAAATGAGACTTGAGCGCAGACAAGCAATAATGCACATGCACACTTTTCTTCTATTCTCCCTGATTTCTAGAAGTAAGAACTTTAGTTTGCAAGACAAATAGAAACTGAATGGTCATGTGCAGAGGCCCTTCTCAGATATTTCTAGACAGCGCCTTAGATTTCAAACTAGACTTCATTAAACCCAATTCAATGCCTTAATCACACTCTATAGCAGAATGTACAAATCTTTTTAACTATTCAACATGTAAGACATTTCTTATATAAGGAAGAGACAGTTGCATGTTTAAGCATTTCATATTAAATATTTGTGAAGCAAGGACAGAATTTTCTTTTCCTCAGTGTAGGTTAATGATACTCAGATTGCGGGGATGTAGTGTTATTTCTCTTGATTGGTATATTTGATATTAAATTATTCCCTACAAAGGGGAATCATTTCAGCTCCAGAACAAAAGATGGAATAACTCCCAGTCCATCATCCATGCCTAGATTGGCAGAGTGAGTATTCATGTGGATTCTAAAGGGAAGGGAGCAAAGGAAATATGATTTTCCCTTAACCTGGATGAATTTCCTTACCATCAGGCTATTGAGATAAAGACTTAATGCTGTCTCTCCTTCCTGCTTGTTGAGAAAAGATTGGCACGGGTGCTTGACCTCTGTGTCTGAACAAAAGAAAATGTGCAAGCTTGCAATCCCAGATGTAGGTGCCTAAGAAATAAAATTAGGAAGACCTTTTCTTTATGTAGGTCATCAACGTATAGGCTTCCAAGTTTTGTGAATTATTGTTACTGTTTCAATGCAAGTAGATCTGTATATGCAAGTCTATACATGCTTCAGTGGCTAGTTCCTTTCCAAAACAGTTTAGTAACTTATACAGTACCAACAGAAAAGGCATGCAAACATTAGGTTGTTAAAAAAAAAGATCGATAGTGTTCAAATGTTAGTCCAATATCTTTGGCATCTATTAGCTGTATGAATCCCCTCTTTACCTGCTTCCTAGGTCAGGTATTTCCAAGGCAGGTAGCTTTACATATCAGTGAATTATTCCACATTCTCCAGTTTAAGCACTGGAGGTCACAGGAAGCTAGTTGCAACTGACAAATAATACAGATATTTATATGTACCTAGTTGGGACTAAAGCTTGCCAAATACTCTTTACTGAAATTGGCCCAAACCTGGAAAATAACAGGATTTAATGTGTATGTGTGGGCAGTGCTGTCCTGTCAAAGGCAGGTATCCCTTTGGTAGCTAGTAAGTAATTTCCCTCTATCAGCCGATTAGCGTATGCTATTGTGCAGCTAATGTCTCAACAGTGGATTGCAAATTAAATCCCCACTGGGGTTTCTGAGATGAAATCCCAGTCCCTTATCCTGTAAGCCACTCAGCTTTTCCTCTTAAGCAACTTAATAAAGATAATATTCATATCTGCATCTCATTATTCCTACATTATATGGATACAATGCGATAGTTTTACTTTTTTGGTGGCAAAAGTTAATGACTTACAAAATATGAGTAATACAGAAAGCTGTGTTGTCACCTTTT